GTGGTATTGTAAGAATAAATGCAAATAGTGCAGAGTGTGGCTAATTTCAATTGTGGTTTTTCAATATGAAATTAAAAGCACCAGTACAACGGGAGTTTTGACGATTCATTAGCACACACTGGTTAAGAGATATCTGTAGCCATCTCTTGAAGTCACACACAGGCATTACAGGATGCATGACAAATTTTGGCTGCACCGTAAAGAGCAGACTGGCGGTGGGGGGTGAGAGTGTGTGTGTGTGGGAGGGGGGTGTTAAGCAAGAGAAAGAGAAAAACAGTTTAGTCTGTTCTATTCCGAAAAGGGGAGAAACGCAGCCTCAAATTACTTTGGCTGGGACATGAAAGTGAAACAGGGTGGCGGTTAAGAGACGATAGCACTTAAAATACAGCTGCGACCGCCAAGCCAATAAATGGAAAAAAGTAGGGAGCAGCACTTTTAACCTTTTAAACCAGCGTTTGTGTACTGCTACTGTTGCTTTGGCGCTGGGAGTGGCCCGGTCCCTGGCACCTCCCGTCTGGGCCCGGCCCATTATGGCCTCTTGGGGTTTCCAGGCTGTGGTGAGAAAGCGCGCTGGATGCCTTAAACCACTAAAGCTCTCATTATAGTCTAAATGCAGCGCGACACAACTCTTGCCAGCTCCAAGGTAGGAGCTCCAGTATTTAAGCTCATCGTTGTCTTAACTCAAAACCACCACTTTCCCCCTGCACATCCAGTCAGAAAAAAAAACAGCCACTTTCAAAGAACCACATCATGAAGTCTCCCAGCTATAGTTACTGGCGCTCCATGCGCATGGGGATGGAGTTCAAAGGTGAAACAGCTCATGGGTGTTGGGAAACTATAGCCTCTTCTTCCTGACAGTGGATTCAGGGGATGTCCCCGTCTCTGCATCCCTTCTGAGAGGAAGCAGGCAAAAGCCACATTATTCCCTCTGGTTCTGGCCGACGACACTATGAGTTCCATCTGGTCCTCCCGGTGCCCCTGCCACGTCCCTGCCTCAGCTCCTCACTCACATGCTGACAGCACGGGCCCGCTGGAAATCGGAGGCAGATGTGCGCTCGTGCAGTGCATCGCAGCTCATCTTGCTACAGGAAAGACGATTTGGCGTCCGGGAGACAATGGAGAGTGATGAGCAGCAGATGGTGTTTCCCTTCGCCTTAAACGTGTACTAATCAGGAGTGCTGTGTGTGTGTGTGTGTGTGTGTGTGTGCCGTCAACAATTATGGGAATGTGAAAAACATGGGGGCCAGCAGTTGAGTGCCCTGCATTGCAAGGTCATTCCAGAAGTTAGATAAAAAGAAGGCATCTAGAGGCAGAGTGTTTTCATCTGATTTTGGCAACACCTGCCAGTCTAGGTGTCCATCTTTACACCTGCCATCACTTGCCCTACTAAACAGGCTTAAGATCCCTGACACGGTCAATGCCGGGCCATTGATGAGCGTCTGACGCCCTATTTTTTGTGGCGTCCCGCACCATTGGCACTAGTTGGCCCTTGACGGCTGCTTTTCATCCAATCCAGCATGTTAAATCGGATTGACAGTTTAGCTCAGTGCATGAGAAGAGAAACGGAAGTCAGGGCAGAAAACAAGCAAGTCAAGAGGCCGTGAGATCAAACCTAGTGTACCGTAAATATAATTTGTTCTTTCACCATCGGGTTGTATAGTTAACATGCAAACTAGCATCTTGAATCCTTCCTGTTGATCTTCTGGTTTCCCTTTTTGAATGACGAATACAGACTGCTACATACATGCTAGTTGGCTGTTGGCTGTAGTCTCTGCGGTGTGCTCAAGTGCAAATTTTTAGCCAAGACTCAGGCAACGTAAGATGACGAAACAGTCGCCGTTTGTCGCCACTAGCTCTTTGATTTTGGTTTGGTTTGCTTGGGATGCAATTCACAACTGCTGCTAGTATCTTAAAAGGTACAGCAAGACTACTACAACTTCTAAACTGTGTAAAATACAACGGTAAGTCCAAGTCCTATAAATCAGTGTGTCTTTATTTAATCCATTTCTCTGGGCCCAAAGCCCTGCTGTTTTGCCTTTTCATTCTTGCACTCTAATCAGGAAGTATTTAAATCTAGGACAAGAGGCGAATACAATTAACTACCTGGCAGGATGGCCAACCTGCACTACTCTGGTTGCCAAGAATCAGATGATGTAAATACACTCTTAAGGTCGTCTTAGGGAAATGCCTGTTGATACACACATAGTCTCAGGTCTTGACAGAGTGATTTAAGGAGACACTGATTACTTTGCTATTACCGAGTTGAACTTGAGCAATCAGGGAACTGGCTTGGGAGGCCTGGGGTTTGGCACTGTGGCCCAATCTGCGTCGTCATGCTTCCCCCCTTAAGAGCCAGAGCGAGAGGCAAATTAACTTAATTTATTATTTTTGGCCCATGGCAGCGTTTGCCACTTTTCGCACTCTTCAGGCAGAGCTGAGCGGGTGTTAGCTTTAGGGAATCAGCAAAAGTGAGGTGGAAGAGCAGCAATCGTGGTTGGGTCTTTGCTCAGGAACGCTGCCATGCCCCCCCCTTTGCCCCTGAATTTGAACCCGTACCTGCTGAGGTCTGGCCACTACTGTACACACAAGGCAACACAAACCCCTCAGGGCTCTGTTCAAACAGCAGAAGAGAGGACTGGAAGGCCCCATAAACCTCAGCCAGACCAAATCAAGCGCCCCATTCACTGAACACAAGACGGCTCAGAACTTAAGCAAAAAAAAGTCGACAAGTGCGATGGTTGCAGAGGTCACTGCGGACAACTGAATTCACAGGAACCTAAATATTTGTGTTTAACCCGATTCCTGTGTAAAACTATATCCGTTACAACACCGCAGCAGTTTCCCAACACGTTCCTGCGATGTTATTTCACAAGTATAGAATTTGCATGTGGGGAATTTGATACCAGTTTAAAATTATACTCGTCAGGTTGTATGGCTGTCATTCATTGTCAGATTCAAGTTGCATAAATCCTCGCTAGAATATATGTTGTAAGAAACTCAAGACAGCGCGCCGTGCTGGACAGACTGCCCCTCATTATAGCCTGACAAAATATAAGCTGCCTCTAAGTGGTCAGAAGCTATGTTAGCAAAGAAAGCAAACCTAAATAGATGTGGTTTTCGATGTAAAGCTGAGGTCCGACATTTCTGTGTGGTTAGCAAGTGGCGCCAAATGGCCATCACTGTGTATAAACAGGGGCCATTTTTGTGCTGAGTATCCTCAGCTTTGATCCGCACATATCATCTTTCTTTCAGAGTAAGAGCGTTCTGAGGAAAACAAACATGGATGCATGCTCTGAGAAGATGCTGCTGTGGACTTGATGTGAGGGATGGAGAGAGAGGGGGGTGCCACTAGATGAGTAAACTCAGCACAGGCGGATGAATCGCCGTCTTCTGACTCATGGTGATGTGCTGCACAAATCCTACGACAGTTTCCTGTGATGCAGCCCACCAGGACACATTTGATGCAACGTGGTGATTAAATGTGTATTTGCAGCATTTAAACACCCCCTCACCCCTCAACTCTCACTCTCTATCTCTCTACAGGCTGAATTGTAACCTGGCCTCCCACCACACACCAATGAGCTCAATAGTTTCTTCAGTGTGAGGTCACACTTCAGCAGCTACTGGCTTCTTTTTATACGACAAATGAAAACAAGAGCCAGCATCTCTGCTGCGGCCTGTAAGGCGACACTCGTGCGGCGACACCTTCATCTCAAGATGATCCAAAACTTCACGTAAAGCAAGCAGCGATTTTAATTTAAGTGCAGATCTCCTGTGTGACTCTTGCCTTAGACGTGCGTACCCTCCACCCTGCTTGCTCCAAAACTTGACACATCAAAGCGAAGAGGCATCCAGCTATCAATCATCCACTGGAAGCAGTTTGCATTTTACAGATACCTCCAAAAACTTCAAAGCCTGCATACAAAAGCTGCTTCGCATTCAAGTGCCTTCCAGTCATTCACAAAGAGCCACTGCTCCCTCCATCACCAAAAAACACAGGGTTAAAGGTCAGGAAATAAAACTTTTAAATCTTTGGCACATGACTAAACCCTCAAAACTCTTTGCTGCCTTACAAGCAGCGGCCAAGTAGATTAAGCAAGAATTATAAAACTTCAAATAAACACTTGGCTTTGGAAGAAAAGCTTCATATTTTAGTGACTTCTACTCGATCAAAGCTGGATCCATTAGCACAAGCAGCTCTGCAGCCAAGTGCACTTGTCATGTTTATGGAGGGAGGTGGGGGGGGGATAAAAGATGCAAAACATGGAGGCTTCTTCCATGATGACTACTCGCTCTGTTATTCTTTATATATGTTTATAAAATACTTACAAATAAGCCTAAACCAGAAGCATGCAGCTTCAAAGGCAGTGTTGATGAGTGCTGCATAGTAACAGGCTGCAGGCGGCGGGACGTGCGGGTTAGTTTACATGTTGGTACGGTCCATAAAAACAAACTTATTCCACTATTAAAACCAACTTTTCCTGTTTGAAAGCGCGTATTTGGGTCAGAGTCGCCACTGAGGCGGATGATCTGTCAGATCCGAGCACCAACAGCAGCCTCGCAGCCCCGCTGGTGTCGTGAAACGCGTAAAACCTGCTCGGTTAAAAAGTTTGCAAACTTTTTAGGAAGCGCTGGAGGATTTGTTACTTTTTAGGAAAGCACCCCCCCAAAACGCGTGGGTTCCTGGGTGAGGGCGATCCGCAGCGAGGAGCGCACAAGAGATCTCCAGACATCAACAAAATAACCTGCAAGAGCATGTTTTCTCTGTGAATGAATTCCACAAGATAGGAGCCATCTTGTGACCGCATATGCTTGCAAGCTTAGTACCATCCTCACACCGCCTGCACACACACACACATACACAACATACACAACTCTTGTCAACCCCCAGCCCCTGCGGAGAAACTTTTACGAAGGGCAGCTTGGTAAAATTACACCCCGCGTCCCGATGGTGTTGCTGGGGACTTGGTGCTCGTCATAAAGAGGGGAAGCAGACTTACTTGAACGATCTCCCCCTCCGCGCTGATAGTGGCTCCTGCTTTGGAGAACCGTCCCTGCAAGCCAGTCGTGTAAGTAGTATAATCTCCATTGGGACTGGACTCGAACAGAACCACTTCCACAAAGGCAGTATCCTTGGCGAAAACGGTACCAAGAGAAGCGGCAACCACGAAGATCACCAGGACCACCGAGTCGGGTACACGATCTGAGCCTCTCCGTGGTAAAATCATCATCTTGCCGGCTGGATCTGCGCCGATCGGGACATAATTTCACACGGATTAATTAATCGGGTGAAGGTAATTGAAATCAGGTCTGCGCGCGCTGCGGCCGATGCGTCCAAAGAGGCAGAATTGTGCAGTAAAAGCTGCGCCTGGGCTGAAGCGTGTTTATTTCACCACTGCGAGCCTTGTCAATTACATTGCCTGCAAACGCTCCCTCTCTGTCGCTCTTTCTCCCTCCCTCCCTCTCTCCCTCTTTCTTTCTCACCCTCCTCCTCCTCCTCCTCCCCCTCTACAAAGCGGATCTCCTTTGATCTCCAAACACGTGATTTTTTTTTTTTTTTTTTTTAGTTTTTTTTTCTCCCTCTCCCAAAAGGGTTATATCCCCACCCACCAATCTTTCTGACCCTCTCCTTTGCACTCCCCACTCTGAAGTGCCAGCACTCAGTTAAGGAGGCACCGCGGACTGCGCAGCTCAGGGAGGAAGAGGGGGAGCGCCTTGTTTGGAAGATATTCAAGTTTCGCGTTACAGTTTGACTTGATTCAGATTTGTTGGGCTGACTTTCAAACAGAGGACGTGTTTGTTCAGCCGCCGTAACACTCCCGGGCTGCCCAGCGGCGTTTCCCCCGAGTTGGACACGTTTTTGCTGCCGTGCCACCTTAAAATAAACACTACCCTCTTCAGGACGCTTCATGATTTAACCGGGCTAATTTTTCAATCTGATTCAGATTGGCTCACCTACAGGTCACCATGCAGGGAGCACACTGATGGAGCTCATTTTGACTGAGATAGATAAAGTTATTTATTTATTTATTGCTCTGACAGAGATTTGTAACTTTAATAAAAGTTCTCCAATGGGAAATTAACTTATACAACATTCATAAATATATGATATATATGTATATATATATATGTACTATTTACGTGTGCATTATAGATTCATGGTATATTCAGATATTTTCAACACCCAACACATTTGGTCCTACAAATATAGGCTATATATTTTTAATCTTTTTTAAATTTTATATACTTTATTAATCCCCGAGGGGAAATTCAATTTTTCACTCTGTTTGTCAATTACACACAGGTCCGAACACACACATGCACAAACAGGACCTATACATGCACTAAGTGGAGAGATGTCAGAGTGGGCTGACCATGACAGGCGCTCTGAGCGGTTGGGGGGTTTGGTGCCTTGCTCAACTGAAGGCACCGAACTGGCACCTCTCCAGCTACCAGTCCACGCTCCATATTTTGGTCCGGATGAGGACTTGAACAGGCGACCCACCGGTTCCCAACCCAAGTCCCTATGGACTGAACTTTAGGTCTAAAACGTATGTGTGCATGGTATATAAAGATATTTTCAACACCCAACAGATTTCATACACAAGGGCAATTCAAAGTTGAGTTTTTTAATGTCCATTTGAAGTTATTTTGTGGTTCGTTTGCATCTCTTTGTGGTCATTTTGTGTCTCTTTGAGAAAGTTTTGTGTCTTTTTTGGACTTTTTATGTCTATTTGTAGTTATTCAGTGTCTTTTGTGTTTCCTTTGCATCTCTTTGTAGTCTTAATGTGTCTCTTTGTGGTCATTTTGTGTCGTCTTTAGTCTGTGATGTCTATTTGTGGTCTTTTTGTGTCTCTTTGAAGTAGTTTTGCATCTTTTCGGTCCTTTTATGTCTATTTGTAGTTATTCAGTGTCTTTTGCGTTTCCTTTGCATCTCTTTGTAGTCTTAATGTGTCTCTTTGTGGTCATTTTGTGTCGTTTTGAAGTAGTTTTGTGTCTTTTTTTGGTCATTTTATGTCTATTTGTAGTTATGTAGTGTCTTTTGTGTTTCCTTTGCATCTCTTTGTGGTCTTAATGTGTCTCTTTGTGGTCATTTTGTGTCGTCTTTAATCTTTGATGTCTATTTGTGGTCTTTTTGTGTCTCTTTGAAGTAGTTTTGTGTCTTTTCGGTCTTTTTATGTCTATTTGTAGTTATTTAGAGTCTTTTGTGTTTCATTTGCATCTCTTTGTGGTCTTTTGTGTCTCCTTGAGGTGATTTTGTGTATGTATGAGGTAATTTTGTGTAATCTTTGGTCTCTTTGTGGCCCTTTCGTGTCTCTTTGAAGTAGGTTTGTGTCTTTTTTGGTCATTTTATGTCTATTTGTAGTTATGTAGTGTCTTTTGTGTTTCCTTTGCATCTCTTTGTGGTCTTAATGTGTCTCTTTGTGGTAATTTTGTGTTGTCTTTGGTCTTTAATGTCTATTTGTTGACATTTTGCATCTCTTTGTGGTCTTTTTGTGTCTCTTTGAAGTAGTTTTGTGTCTTTTTTGGTCATTTTATGACTATTTATAGTTATTTTGTACCTTTTGTGTTTCCTTTGCATACATTTGTAGTCCTTTGTGTCTCCTTGTGATTTTGTGTATGTTTCAGGTAATTTTGTGTTCTTTTGGTCTTTTAATGTCTATTTGTAGTTATTTTGTGCTTTTCGTGGTTCCTTTGCATCTCTTTGTGGCCTTTTTGTCTCTCTTCCTGGATGGATCATGCTAATTTGAGTGACATTTTGCAGGTGAGGGCCAGTGAGGGCCTCTGACACTTTGGGCTCATAGACCTGTGCCCAGTGGTGCACTGATGGTTTATGACATGGGTGTATTACTAAGTAGAGGGGTAGGTTACAGAGGAGGAGGTGGGTAAACTCTCTATTCCTATGCTGATAGGTGGGTGTATTGTAAACAGACAGAAAAAAGGTGGGTATATCCTGTAAGCCTGTGTATATCCTCCACTGAACCACTGCCTGTGCATGAGCCATCCAGGAGGAGAGACAAAAAGACCACAAAGAGATGCAAAGGAACCACAAAAGACACAAAATAACTAAAATTAGACATAAAAAGACCAAAAAAGACGCAAAACTAACTCAAAGAGTTACAAAAACACCACAAAGAGACAAAATGACCCCAAGGAGACACATGAAGACCACAAAGAGATGCAAAAGAACCATAAAAGACACAAAAAAAATGAAAATAGATATAAAAAGATTAAAAAAAAGACACAAAACTGCTCCAAAGGGAAACAAAAGGACCACAAAGACATGCAAAGGAAACACAAAACACACACAATCTAAACATGAATAGACATAAAAAATACCAAAGACGACACATAACGATCACAAACACACACAAAATGACCACAAAGAGACACAAAATAACTACAAACTGACATAGAAGACCACAAAAAAAACAAAGAAAACCACAAAGAGATGCAAAACAACCACCAAAAAAACCCAACACAAAATGACAGTAAGGGACACAACACAACAAAAAAGTGACAAAACCACCTGTGTGTCTTCCACTATCTATCTATCTATCTATCTATCTCTAAAGATTGAGAGGAAACTCTGAACTTTTCCTGATCTCTTCCAATATGCTCTTTAGTCGTGAGCTGTTGTATTGCACATGATTTAAAGGCAATCCACTTGCACATATAATTGTGCACCAGTCTTTAGACGGATAGATCTCCAATTAACTGTCTCCTTTGATCTTCAAAGCAGTTGTCGTCATCAAGACCGGCCTGACAAGCTAATCACAGATCATTTTACAAACCTCTAAATGTTTAAATGTAATTTGGCATAATTTCCATCTGCAGAAAGTCTAATTAGTGGCTGAATGGCAAAGTTATAATAGCGAGCGCGTCCTTATGATTCATCATGCGTTTATTGATAAACATCGGTTACATTATCTGCTCTTTAAAAAGTGCAGGCGCATCCTACATTTCTCTTTTAAACAAACCGTTGCTGTTGTTTACTGCAGGAGGAGACAATTATTTCTCAGTCTGTCTCTGTGCAGCATAAAGAGGCTATTGTGAAACTTCCATGCTGACCAGTTCCTGAGGAACATCTTCTGTCTGGTGCCTTTTCTTTCAGCGTGTCAGACTGTTCATTATGTGTCATTATGTCTGTTCATTATGTGCAAAAAGCACACTGTGTCTTGAAAGGACATTGAAAGAATAGATACACACACGCTATCATTTCATTCCTACGATAAAGGATGATTTGAATCTTTGTGCGAGGAAACAATTCATGAAAAGAGCTCATAGTACCATGCAAGTGGTGTTGATACTGTCCATGCATGGTTCTGTCTTTAATGTGGCTTACAAGACTTCGAGGTGACAGCGTTCAAGAGATTATAATGCATTAAATTGAATAAAACCACTTTGCAAAAGGCCTGTTTCCAGCAAATCTACCAGTCTGGCCTCTTGCAAAGAAAACAGTCAAATGAAGGGTGAGATCTGTGCAGTGATTGATGTCCAAAAAAAGCCCAGAAAACAAGGTCTCATCTTGCTGTCAGCTGTGTGGCAGTGTGATTATGAAAACCAACTGTGAGGACTTTTTAGGTCAACAATGCAGCCGCCTCTGGAAGAAAGCGTGATGGTCAACATGTGTTCGGACTCAAAAAAAATGAAGAAAAAAAAGAGCGGGGTGGAAAACAATTCAAAGGCGAAACTTAAGAAGTTCTCCAACGCCTCCAGCGTGACAATAATTTACAGATCACATTGGACGTCACTCTGCTTTATGAATCCTGATCCACACCACATGTCCCGTATCTGTCTTGTGACAATTAACACACTGTTTCTGTTCCCCTCACACGCACATGAAATACAGACACATTATGACTCAATGAATAAAAAAAGAAATGTTGGAACTTTGAAGGCACAATGCCTGCAAGCTTACTGATGGCATTAAATTATCAGCTTGCTAATGGACCACAATGTGCATTAAGGCAACAAGTTGCAGTGATACTCACAGAGAGTCTTGTTCTTCTTTTGTTACAAGTCTGCCCTCTGCTGGCCGCTTCTCAATCCTTGGTGATTTTAAAACTGCAACTCCACTTCTGTAGTTTCCTTTAAAGTATTCACATGGTTTGCTTTCTAGATTATTTAAAGACAGACCATTTGGTGGCCCTTTGAAGTTACTAAAAAAAGACATTATGATTTCAAGGATATGCCTTATTTTCTCACTTCCTTCCTGACAATTTGTTCGCCCAGTCCGTATGTCAATCTTGCTCGACAGCAGCTGTGGATCCTCTCCTGACGCTCCAGTCTCTCTCTACCCCAGTGTCTAAACTCCAGGCCACCCTGAGAAGAATCAGCTGTCCACTTGTTTGGGCTGAGAGAGTGCAGAGGATGAGAGTGACTTTGAAAGATGATGGCTGGCTCAGGATGTGAGTTTTCTTTTTTCTCAGCTGAACTCGTAGAAGATTCATCGGCTAATTTACGACACTTTGTGA